TCGATACATTGACAATAGGTTACATATCATTTTCTATTTGGCTGGTGTTGTTTATGAATACAAATGTTTGTTGATAGAGTACTTAGGGAAGTTTTGTAAAAATCACACATCTCTTAGTGTATCTATTTTAAATGACTTAAAATACCAATCAATTCTCATCCACCTGCAAGCGCTTGGTCTTTGGGGTAAAGTTCTGACTGGCCCATGGATGGTCATATTCTACTCAGAAGATACAAAAAGAAATCATTTTGGCATGGTAAAGTTATTCTTATTTTTTTAAGGATACTTCATAGATCATCATAGATTATGAAGTATCTTCATAGATTATGAAGATTGTGATACCTTCTCCTTGAAAAATATTACCACAACGTACCGCATAAGGTTTATCATTTAACGGGATGGTTTTTTATCTTCTATCTCAAGGATGATGCTTATGTGTCAACAGCAGTTTTGAACATATGTTCCTTGGGTTATATATTCACTGCTGAAGCCACTGTATCATGATTAATATTATTCAAGCTTTTTTATAAATAAAAATACCATTTCTTATTTTTTAATAAAGGTTGCCTATCTCAAAAAAGCAGTTGATTTTATAAAGCGTGTTGATATCAAGCCAAACCTTCTTCTTATAACTTTAACTGATGCATTCGATCGTCCCTCATTGGAAGATGATACTTTAAAGTCACTACGGATTACTGAAGGTATCTCACTAAAAAACCTTTTTTTTGTAATAACTATTCTAAGTCATTCTTATCAGTTATGTGCCGGCAACTTTCGCGTTATTTCGCTGGGTCACTAGCAAATCAAACTGCTGAAATAAAACAACAAGCTGCAAGTGCCCAAATTCACAATATATGGGCAGAGAGGACACTTGGGAAGGTTAGTTCACTATTAAAAAGAGCGCCAAATGCAGACATTACATTTATTGATAGTGTTACAAAAGTTAAGGCTAATTACTCTATTGATTGGCTTTTAAAAAAAGATATTCATATTAGGAGGAAATTAGTAACATTTTGCATCAAGCAAGGTGCAAAATACAGGCAAATTGCAAAAGAAAGATGATTAAGAAATGAAAAAATCATGATTTTTAGGTTAAAGGAGAAATCTCAAAATAGAGATATGAAAATGAGAAATAAACTTTCCTAAGCTATTAAAGCTGGTTTAGGATTTAACTGTTTAAAAGCATTTGTTTGGTTTAGGCAATGGTTTAACTGCCAATAGTGAACTATTTAGCTCTTTACCTGCGTTTCAAAGTAAAAACCTCGAAAAACTACTTGGCACAAATTTGGCCCAATTAAAAAACTCACATCTTGATCACATCTGGATCGTTTTTAATTGTGATGTTTTGTTTAAAGGAAAAATTTTTAAATATAAGAATATCAAATCAGGTGAAGATACAATAAAATCTTTTATTATTGCTTATTGGAAAAACAACAAAAAAGGAGAATGCTGAGGATTGTAAAGTAAATTTAAATGTTTTTTTTGACTAATATGATTTTGGGAGATTTATTATTTTGTAAATATTGATAAATACCTCAGTGTTTTTTTTATCGACTTACGCGTAGGTGTCCTTAAGATTGGAACTTTTTGGGGCCCGGGCTATTTACTTTTTTGTTGGTTATTTTGTGCCAGAGCTATCTTAAATTTACTTTAAAACTTAAAGAAGTACATCGCTTTTGCTATTCTAATGTTGCCTTTACACGTCCAAGTTGTTAAGTATTTAATAATTATAAGTTATGCTGTTGCAAAGTGCAAACAGCAGGCAGGCTTTTTTATAGTAATTTTTACTGTTTTCTAATGTATTTGTTGAAATTATAATATTTTAGTTAGATTCTAGTAAAATAATAAAGATTCAGTATAACAAACCTTCGAAATAACAAAAGAAAGTAATTTTTAGGGGTTATTTTGACTATTATAGGCCTCTATGTGATCATCAATATATTTTTGAAGTTCAAAAATATATATATTTTTAATCATTCAGTACCTAGTATTGAGAAAATTAGTGCTTAATGAATAAAAAATAACTTTTTTTGATTACATAGAAACCACCTTAATAAATATATAATATTAAATATGATAAGTTTTTCAATACAGTTTTCTAACAAATTGTCAGGCTCCATTATGAACCTTTTATGAGGTGAGGCCCTATTGACCTCCCCCCTCCCTCCTTTAGGTGCAATCCTTTTAAATAAGATAAAATGTTTATTACAGAATAATAATTACAAAAACCTTGTTTATTACGGAATTTGATAAAAATCCGGTCTTGTTTATTGTCACTTGTGGAAAAACAGCGTACGTGCAGGAATCATCAATGCGATTCTTAAAACAATAAAACGTTAAAAGTCATACAAAAAAAGTCACAAGTTTTATGGTTTTAAAATTGCATAAATTTTTAAATAATAATATTGTAGCAATAAGTTTTATATTTTAAGGATGTTAACATTCATGTCTAGCTTATAGTATTTGTTTTGTTTTTATACTAACTTTTTGAAAAAAACGTCGAAGTGCCTATCCTGATGGAGAAATACCTATCAGCTACATAATGTTTATAATTGGAGAATAAAGAACTCTACTGTCTTAGTGATAAACGTTTCTGACAAAAGAGTTCAGTGCAATCAATGATGCATCTTGTTGAAGGAAATGTCATCTTGAAGTTTACTGGCATATACCAAATAGGAACACTTTCCAATTAAAAATATAGAAAATTTGTCCATGTTATTAAATAACGTGATGTTGTAGATTTTGATATTTTGAATAACCAAGACGTGTGAAAAATTGTAAATCCATTTTTTAGCCACACTAAAAACATATATAACAGATCTTTTGTGTTTAATTTTGGTTTTGGACCGGATTTTTCCTCATTGACTAAAATATTATTTTTTTGGATAGTGATGAGTTATGATATTTAATGTTTTCTACATTATTTCCTGGATTTAAAAATTTGTACAAATTAATAAACTGTTCATGCTCAATGCCAGTATACTTTTGGAACAATTTTTTTCTGTTGACACATTTTCATAACTATGAATATATTTTCTTTTATATTGATTTAATTGATTTGTTATTATTTTGTTTTCAGATTCTAAATAGCGCATTTTAGATATAAATTTTTGTTTTTTCTTTTTCCAATAAATCAATTTTATGTTGTCCTGACAACAGCTTTTTTTTAGACTGCTGTCAACCTCAAAGTCAATTAACTGTACTTTGTTATTAATTTTAATGTCTTCGTTTTTAGAAACGTTTTCAAAATTTTCAAGTAGTTTTCTTTTTCTAGGAGAAGACCTTTTTTTTACATCAATTTGCTTTTTAAATTGAAAAACAGATGGGAATGCTCCCTTTTTTAGAGTTTTTCGATTAGTACATTTTCGTCAGGGTTTCGTCAGTCGACTAAAAGTCAATTTAGTCGAAAAATGGGAATAATTTATTTTTTTGAAATAATTGCAATAAAATTAATAAATTTTATATTCGGTTTCTATTTTTTAATATCATATCATTTATATAATAATTGAGCAAAACAATATGAGAGAAGGGCCGTTCCGACAACGAAACATTCTATCCTCAGACCACTATGATTTAGGGACCGCCTTAAATACTTGCTATATAATAAAAAGTCATTACAATCATATTTACAATATGGTTGAATGGATTAATGACATTGCCCCAGGGTCTCGAGCCAGCTTGGAACGGTCCTGTATTAAGTTTAATTAGGTATAAATAATGGTAACATGCTATGAATTAGATAAAACTTTAAGAGAGTAAATAAAAAACTAGATAAAAGTTATCATAGTACATAATATTGTTATTAAATAAACAAACAATTAAAGATTGAAAAGTTTAAAAGGATTTTAAGATTTTTACTCGACTAAATTGATTTTTAGTCATCAATTGATTTTTAGTCGACTAAAGTCTATAGATTAAATCAACTATTTGATTTTTCAAAGTCGATTAGTAGGAAGTCTATAGATTAAATCAACTATTTGATTTTTCAAAGTCGACTAATTTTGATGTTTAACTAGTCGACTTTTAGTCGATTTAGTCATAGTCGAAAATAACACTAGTAAAATTTGTATTTAACACAGCGTTTAGAGATCTCAATTGAACTTCGAATTAAAAAATTCGCTGTGAAATTTATTTGAAAATATTATTGAAATTAAAAAAGTCGCTGTGAAATTTATAAATTCTTCGCTGTGAAAATTAACTTTAAAGTGGGACTATTTCTAAAACAAAATATGAAGAGAAGTATTTTTATCTAAGGATAGAATAATAATAGAACATTTAGATCAGTTGCATCCCCTTGCAAGGGTATATTATCGTAGAATGCCTACTAAATAAAAAACTTGAATGTCAAATAAATGACTTCATTGATAAGGACAAGTTTCATATTAAAAGAAAATAGATCTAGAATTTTAGGTTTATACTTGCACTTAAAATAGAGGAAAAAGGAGGTGGAGTGGGTAGGGGACGTAAAGCCCTCCTGATCTACTAAAATTTATTTAACATAATGAAAAATACAACTTTGCCGAGAACTTTTATATAATTGCTATAAGTATCGCTAGTTACAAATTTCTTTTAACTGAATTCAAATTTCTTTTCGTTTTCAAATATGTAATTTATTGAAAAAACGCTTATAAATTAGAGTATCTTCTACCTCCTTAAATAGCTTCTTGGTTCAGCGAAAAAGAGAGAATTTAATTTACAAATCTAATAACTTAAAATAAGTTCAATTTCCAATTTCAAAGAACTGCAACTAGTGATAGTTTTAAATGGAAATCCTAATGGATAGCCACCCATCATTTACAGATAAAAGAAACTAAAAAATAAAAAATATGAATCCGTAATAATATAATACAATGCGTATATATATATATATATATATATATATATATATATATATATATATATATATATATATATATATATATATATATATACACGCAAATTTAAAACATCTAAACATTTCAGAGTTGTCCGTAATAGCAGCGTTATTTTTTCAGAACGTGTATAGTAAGTATAGTATTAAGAAAAAAATCAAAATTACATTTTTATTATAAATTAAGTTACAATTTATGTTTCTCATGCAACACGTCAACATTCAACTCATACAAAACAAACACTAAAAAATTTTGGTATCATCACTTTTATTTCTTAAGAAGCTATTTTAAACTTAACAAATCTTCAAAGGCTTACAAAAATATTTTTTTTATCAAAAATGCCATTTAAAACTTTGATTCCAGATATCGTTAATCGATTTTCGGAAAAATAAACCAGATCCGTTTCCTTAAAATAAAAGTTGTAAAATTTTTATTTTATGTATTGTACTGCTCACTACCCTGGGGTTTAATCTGAGTTCATCAGGCAATACATAATTATCATATTATAAATATCACACATAATTATCAAGTATGTATTCCAGCAAAAAAAAAAAATAATAATAAATTTGTAGCGAGTCCTGAACTTCTGTATTTTTACAAACTTAGTTTTTTAGAATATTCTTTTATTGTAATTAAATAAATTCACCACTATTAAATTCGGAAAAACACTATTAAATTTAGAAGTTACTAAAAAGTAGAGAAGAGGTTTAAAAAGCAACACAGTTAATTTGTTAATTTAAAGAATTGTCTATTGAACATGTCAGGAAAATATGTAAACGAGAGAGAATTCTAAAGCACTGACGCTTGAAGAAAAAAACTAAGTAAAATTGTTTGATTATAAAAGAACAGTAACAGTGAATAATGAATTCTTAATAAATGACATAACAAATTACTTTACGAACCCTTGGTTAAAACATGATAATTTGTCACAAAGTTAGGTAGTCTGGAAAATAGTTGAAATAGAACAGAAATAGTTGCATTGCTATAGCCAAAGGTACAAGCTAAAATCTATTAGGGTATGATAGGATCTAATTAGGATACGATAGGATCTAATCTATTAAGATAATATTTTAGTAAACTATGTTACCAGTAGCAGAGTGATTATAATCGTAATTAGCAACATAGTGTTCTCATAAGCACACTATGTTGCGGTAAGTAAATGTAGGTAGTAGACAGTGGTAGGTAATGTTAAGGCTGTTTTTAGCTTTTTTTAACATCTTCACTTCCAACAAGGCTTCAAACAACTACCATTAGAGTTGGAAGTTACTGGAAGAGAAAAGATGAAGTTATTAAAGCAAGATAACGATTAACAGAAAACTTAAAATTGCAAATTAAATGAATCAGGAAAAAAAGAAGGGAGCAAATTCCTAAGAACTGATGTTTGAGGAAAAAATCTAGATGAATAAGAGTTTTTGTAGTACTTTGGAACAGTTACAGCAAAAAGATGAGACCTAATTGAATGACGAGTAACACGAGAATGAATGTTAATAGATGGCATAAGAGATGCTAAATCTTTAGAGCAGCGCCTATTATAGTTTTATAGAAAAGAGAAAGAGAAGCAACATTACGGCAATGTGACAATGGTCGAAGGTTGGCTGTAAGAGCAGGTCCAACTATATCTACAATGCGTTTTTGCACCTTGTCTAAAAGAGAAAGGGCATCATTCAAATATCCGCTCCAGATATGTCAACAGTATTCCATATAAAGACGGATTTGAGATTTATAGAGATAAAAAACAGAATCCGGAGAAAAAAAGTGGCGACCAGGATAGAGAGGTGCAACCTTAGTAGACGCTAATTTTGCAATGGATTCGACAAGAAAGATTGGAAGTAAGAGTAGAAGTAAAAGACGAAGGGTAGATGACTCATCTAGTACATTACCGTTCATATATATAGGAGGATCTAAATTGTTATGATAACAATTAGCAGAAAAAAATTGAATTTCATCTGAGTTAAAGTTCGCCAGCCACTGACAGCCCCATGCTATAGCAGAAGTGAGTTCCTTTTCAATCTTTAACGCCCTCTCTAAGAAATCAGAGAGTGATGGCTTCTTATCAAGAAAAAAAAAATGGCGGTATCATTAGTAAACAGCGCTACCTTAGATGTAAGAATTTTTGTAGGAGATCGTTAATGTAAATTAAAAAAAAATTAGGTCTAGAATAGAATCTTGAGAAACCCCTGAAGTTACAGGAAACGAGGAAGAGTGCTGTCCATCGAGGACAACTTTTATACTAAAATTGGTAAAGAAGGTTTCAATAATCTTAAAGATGTTACCTGACACTCCATAAGAAGAGAGTTTATGGAGAAGACCATGTCAAACATTTTCAAAAGCTTTAGAAATGTTGAGAGCAATAACCTTAGCCTCTCCACACTTATCTAATGCACGATAAAACGTACCAGTTATAACAGTTAATATATCAGTTATAACAGTTAACATATCAATGGAACGATTGATATGTTAACTGTTATAACTGATTGATTATAATTCTAGAGAGCAATCTGACAAAAGTCAGATTGCTCTCCAGAATTTTTAAAAAGAGGGATAACAGATGCTGCTCTGGAAAACAACACTCTGATAAGCACTTATTCAATAGTTTTGAAAGTATAGACAACAGCTCCGAACATTTCTGCAAAACTATAACAGGTATGTTATCCGTACCACAAGCTGTAGAAGAATCTTAGCAGGAAATCACTTTAGTTACAGAAGCTGGAGTAATACGAATGTCAAGCAATTGATCAACCTGTTTGTCGGCTATATTAAATAGAATGTGATTAGTGGAATCAAGAGATGAAAATGATGAAAAGTTCTTAGCAAACAATTTAGCTTTGTCTTTAGGTGAGGTAACAAAATCTAAACCATGCACAAGAGGTGGAATAACAGATTTGCCCTTATTATAGACACTGTTAAAGATTCTCCAGAAGTCTAAATTTTTTAGACAAAATACAATATTTTGTGACCTGAGATTAACAGGCTTTGGTATTAGAAAAAATCTTTTTACAATGGTTTTTATCAATAAAAAACAGATATATATTTTCTGGAGAATCATTTTGAGAAGAAAACCATGGAGAAGAGCAAGGCTCAACTTGGACTCGTCAAGAGAAAATAAAAGATTCCATGCAAACTTGAATCCAAGAAGTTACGTAAGAAGCACATTTGTCTGCAGGAAGATGAAAAATTTCTACCCAAGGGCCATCACGAAAAAAATCATGAAAAGATCCCAGTCAGCTTTGAGTTAGTTGTAAGAGGTACAATCATAGAAGGATTATGATAATGAAGAAGAGTGCAATAATAGTTTTAGAGAGATCAAATCATGGTCTAAGGGTAACTATAAAGCACTTGAGCACTGACTAGGATTAAAAATAAGACACAAGTCGAGTAGAGAATTTAAATGATTTGGATCGTCTGAAAAGCAAGTTAAAAAGTTGACTATTTGTGTCAGAGATTGAGAAAGGCATAAGTTATAGGCCTGAATGCATAATTGGTAAAGTGCCCAATAATGATTTTAACATATAAAATCATCATTACAAACTGATGATAATTAAAATCATCATTTTAATTTCAAAAGATGCAACTTGAAAATAATTTAGTTATTGATTGGTATAATCTCAGAGAGATATATACTTGATACTTATGTAAAATACTTGTTATACTTGATAATTATGTTTAAAAAAATCCAAGATGCAATCAACCGACTACAAAAGTTATATCTGGTTTTTGACATTTCTAAAAAATATATTCTCACCCATCAATTGATTTGTTCCAAATTTTATAACTTCATCAGAATCTCCCTCCAAAGTTTTTAACTGTGTCCAATTAAGATTGTTTGCAATACTAATTTTAAACTCATGATTTGTTACAGCTAACCATTTTTTTAACATATTAGAAAACACCAAATACAATTTCTGGTTTCTATGCATGGCATATAACTCTCGACTTATTATGTGATGACCTAGAATTGCGCCAATACGAATATCTATTTCTAAGATTTTTTTATAAATTATAAACTTTAAGAAATAAAATTAAGTAAATAATTAATATTAATTTAAAAACAAAATACCTTCCCATAACATACCATAATCTTTAGAAATGTAGCAAGCAGATTTTTGTAATCTAAATATAAAAAATTATAAATGTATGTGTACATATATACTAACAATGGGCACATTACCTCTTAATACTTTAAAGGGGTAAAAGTTATAGATTTTAGCTCCTCCAATTTTCAGATATATTATACTGTCTCCTGACTTTAAGTGCATAATTAATAATTATGCACATTAATAATTAAATTATCAATCTGAAAATTGAAAATGTTACCAGGCTCATATAAAATTCTTAATACCAAGCTACAGGCAACTAAATTATCAAATATTGATAAATTCAAATAATTTTTACAGATTCAAATGATAACATAATGTAATTACGTTATTCTTTGATGATATTGATAAATTAAAAAATTTGATAAAAAATACCTAAAAATTGGTTGCATTTTCACTCCAGACCCCATTAAAAAAGGTAAAAAAAACAAATCTTTATTGGTTTAAGTACAACCCCTTTTAAAATGAAAATCAAAAGCCTTGTTACTGTTTTAATTAACTGACTCTATTATTTTATATTCTAATGCGTGAAAAAGCTTTGACATTATGTGATATTTGAATAACATGGTTTTATCTCTTTAAAAATTATATTTAACAATAATATAACAAAATTACAACTGTAAAACATTTACATAAATTAAAAATCAAAAGTTAAATTCTCTCAATATTACAAAGAATCATATTATTCTAACGTCACAATTTGCTTTATTATCTGATAATTATTCAATCAAATTAATCTGGAAAAAAAATACATAGACTTAACCTTTTGCATTTTTTACACCATATTATTGTCATTGTTGGACCACTCCATGATTTTCCTAAATGAGTACTAAGTTCATTTTTTGCCCTTTTTTTGTATGAGCTGAGGGTATTTATGCAATTATCCCAATTATGCAAATTATCTTTTATGAAATTTTTGTTATTGTTTGGAAAAGAAAATGTAAATACAATGTTAAGCATAACTTGTAACATTATTTAAAGAATGATAAAAAAAATTCAAAAAGATTTCTGAGTAACATTTGTGTTTTATTTAATATAATGTCTAACATGCTGAAAAATAAAATACCAATTAATTTTTGAAAACAATACTAGTAACTATAAATTTTAATTTTGTAAAAAAAGAGTTCTTTGCGAGAAAAAGTATTTTTATTAATTGAGCTTCCACTCTAATATTTATTTGACAAAAGAAAGATTGAGTAATATTTAATATGTTTAAATGTAGTAATCTCATGAAATAAATTGAGGTTTGTAATGAAAATAACATTACACATATTAAAAATGCTAACCTAAACTAGATTTATAGCCATCTCACTGCAACCATTTACTACTTCAAGACACAAGAATATTCATAAACTGTTTAAACTCTAGACAATAATCATTTAGTTCCGATGTCTAAGTTGAAGTCTTAGCCATCTTACTTTTACATCTGCAGAGCTTAACATAAAAAATTAACAAACTCTGGTCAGTTATTATTAGAGTCAGGCTTGGTTGAGTATCATTATTAAACATAAAAGAGTTCATTGTACTGAAATTAACTTGCTATTTTTTTACAATCAATTAAGGTGTGTAGGCTTTGGGGTTTTTTTGCTTCAGGTTTAGCTGAGATATCTTTTGAAGAAACATCAATTCTTATTTTCAGTTTGTCGCACTTTGAACATATATCTATTCGAGGATAACCAAATGCAAAATTAACTTGCTGTTAAATAATCAAAACAGCTTCTTGGCAATTTCACTTTGTTCTTGTACATTTTTGTCAACAAAAGACAGCAATACAATATTTAGGTCTATATAACAGATGTGTCTCTTTATAGATTCATTAACAGGTTTTGCCTGATCAGGTTTAAGTTTTAAGTATTTCTGCCAAAGAGCTTTGAGTCTATAAAATTTTTTGACTATGGTACAACTTAAAGATATTTTATACAATTAAAAAAGTAATAAAAACTTAAACACAAATTTCAAAAGATTTTTACTTGTAAAGTGTTAAAATAACATCTGATATGGGGCAATGCACCATGGTTTCTGAGAGCTGATTTTTTTGACAGAAACCCATTTTTTTTAAGTATTAAAAAAGATTTTTTTTTATGCGTGGTACCTTAAAGTACACCCTTTAAAGTGATAATCAACATGCTCTATTTTTAAATTAATAACTTTGTAATTATTTCAATTTAATAGCTTTGTTTGTAAAATGCACTCTATCAATTAAGAATATTTTTTAACTCTGCTTAACTTACAGTAAGTTAGCATAAAGTGAGCAGTTAATTTAATAAAACATTTTCTTTTATAATTTTTTATAATTAATATTTTTGATTTCTGTGAATTATTTTTAGACAGGTATTTACTTTTTTTAAAAATTCAATTAAATTAAAAATTGCATTATTATATTAATTTTATAAAAGCAATAAGCGCAATAAGCATCTCCTTACGTTACTTTATATCCTATTATTTCTAGTATTAACTTACACAGAAAAATTTAGAATCATTGTAAGTTCCCTCTTCCTCCTAAGGTAATAAGTTTACTAACAGAAATACTATGCAATACCTCGCAACATCAACATAGTGAAAGCGAAGAAGGTAGTGACAGCGATGACAACTACAACGATGAAACTTCTGATGAGGACTTAATTTCTATTAACTATTTCGATTTCATTAAATTAGATAGTAAAATATAGTTGAAACTTAACTAATTTTTCGAATATCAATTCATCTAATGATATTTCTTTACAATAGATATAAATAAAATATAACTATATATTAAATATATCAATATATATTTAGTATATATTGAATGTATATAATTATATTAAATATCCTAAATATATATATATATATATATATATATATATATATATATATATATATATATATATATATATATATATATATATATATATATATATATATATATATATATATATATATATATATATATATATAATATAACCATAAAATTTAGTTATAACACATTTAGAATATACTATCTTGAGAAATAAAAATCATTAGTTATTTTGTGTTTAAATTTAAGTTATTAATTTATGCCCAAAAATCGGGTTTCAAAAACCATAGTGCAATGACAGGAATTTCAGCCCTTAAAAATTAGTGTAAAATACATATGAAAAAAACTTTATCTTTTGTTACATTTTTTAAAAATTCAGACAGGCTGGAAATACTATCTAGAGAAAGATATTTTCAGAAAGTATATTCTCTTTACCATATATCTTGCATGACATACAAGCTCAACCTTCCTTAGTCTGTACAGTTTATCACCAGATAACAACATTGTTGTCAATTCTGCCAACTCCAGATAATCAGACCAGCACCTATCTCAAATAACACTATTTATTTTAATACGAAACAGTACATTAATAAACTTTTTTTTATACAGAGTATTCAGTATACTTAGAATTTTAATACCTTTTTCCTTATTTTTGTCTTGATATTGTTTTGAAAAAAAGATAAGGCTTCTTAATACTGTTCCTGCAGCCAGCTATCAAACATATTTTTCACTTTGTTAAACACAATGAAAATTATTTGAATTTTTTTGATTATTTGAAAGAAAAAAAAAGATTAGTAATGGTGCAGATTTGAGTTGATGTTTTAAATAAAATCAAGGAAGTTAATGATTAAAAAATATTTTATTTAATTTAAAATAGAAAATAAAAATAATTAAAAAAATTAAATATCCCAACTTGTGCTCTGAGAATAAGCTGAAGATTAAATATAACAAACACAGAAAAACCTCTTTTGTCCGTATATATATATATATATATATATATATATATATATATATATATATATATATATATATATATATATATATATATTTTTTTTTTTTTTTTTTTTTTAGCATCTTCGCTTCCAACAAGGCTGCAAGCAACCACTAATTATTGTTGGAAGTTATTGGAAGAGAAAAGATGAAGATTGTAGAGCAAGATAACGATTGACAGACGATTTAAAAGATTGCAAATTATATGAATCAGGAAAGCAAGATAAAGGAAGCGAATTCCAAAGAACTGATGTTCGAGGAAAAAAACTAGATGAATAAGAGTTTTTGGAGCACTTAAGAACAGTAACAGGAAAAGGATGAGACTTAATTCAATGACAAGTAAAACGAGAATGAATTTTAGTAGATGGCACAAGAGACGATAGCTCTTTAGAGCAGTGCCCATTATAGTATTTGTAGAAAAGAGAAAGAGAAGCAACATTACGACGATGTGACAAGGTTGAAGGTTGGCTGCAAGAGCAGGTTCAACTATGTTTACAATGCATTTTTGCATCTTGTTTAAAAGAGAAAGGGCATCATTAGAAGATCCACCCCAGATATGGCAACAGTATTCCATAGAGATAGAGAATAGAATCCAGAGTAAGAAAGTGACAAGCTCGATAAAGAGAAGCGACTTTAGCAGATGGTAATTTTGCAATGGATTTAATATAAGGTTTCCAAGAAAGATCAGAAGAGTTAATCCTAGAAGATGAAGGGTAGGAGACTCATTGAGTACATTATCGTTCATAAATATAGAAAGGTCTAAATTATTGCAATAACGATTGGCTGAAAAAAATTGAGTTTTATCTGAATTAAAGTTCACCAGCCACTGTGAGCCCCATGCTGTAGCAGAAGTGAGATCCTTTTCAAGCTCAGATGCATCTTGCAAGCAATCAGAGGGAGTTGGCTTCTTATCGTGACAAGAATAAATGGTAGTATCATCAGCGAACAATGCCACCTTAGATGTGAGAATATCTGGAAGATCGCTAATGTAAATTAAAAAAGTATAGGGCCAAGGATTAAACCTTGAGGAACCCCTGAGGTTACAGAATAAGAAGAAGAGTGCTGTCCATCAAGGACAACTTTTATACTACGATTGGAAAGGAAGGATTCAGTAATCTTAAAGATGTTTCCAGATACACCGTAGGAAGAAAGCTTATGGAGAAGACCAGCATGCCAAACTTTATCAAACGCTTTAGAAATGTCAAGACCGATGGCCTTAACCTCTCCACCTTTATCTGATGCGCAATAAAACCTATCGGTTATTACTGTTAGCAAATCAGCCGTAGAACGAGAAGATCGAAATCCATATTGATGATCAAAAAGTAGGTTATGAGATTCGAGATGAGAGACTAAGTGTTTGTTAATTAAAGATTCAAAAACCTTGCCAATGATAGGAAGAAGACTAATGGGACGGTAGTTAGACGAATTGGATCGCTCTCCAGAATTTTTAAAAATAGGGATAACAAATGCTGCTTTCTAGCAGGCTGAAAAACAAGACTCTGATAAGCACTTGTTAAATAGTTTTGAAAGGATAGGCGACAGCTCCGGAGAACACTTCTGCAAGACTATAACAGGTATGTTGTCCGGGCCGTAAGCTGTAGAAGAGTCTAAGCAGGAAATCACTTTAGATACAGAAGCTGGAGTGATACTGATGTCAAGCAGTGGATCAACCTGTTTGACGGCTATATCAGGTAGAACGCAACTAGTGGAATCAAGAGATGGTATTGATGAAAAGTTTTTGGCAAACAATTCAGCTTTGTCTTTAGGTGAAGTGACAAAGTCTGAACCGTACAAAAGAGGTGGAATTACAGACTTGCCCTTATTATTGATAATATTAAAGATTATGCAGAAGTCACGAGAGCCTAATTTTTGTGATGAAATACAAGATTTCATGGTCTGAGAATAGCGGGCTTTGGCGTTAGACAAAACCTTTTTACAATGGTTCCTAGCAGTAATAAACAGACGTCTGTTTTCTGATGAATTGTTTTGCTGATAGATATGGAAGTAATGGTTTTCGATTGGCAATTGCAGCAGCACAATGTGAGGAAAACCATGGAGAAGAATGAGACTTGACCTGGAATCGTCGAGAGGGAATAAAGGATTCCATGCCAGCTTGAATCCACTAAGTTATGTAAGAAGCAAATTTGTCAACAGGGAGACGAAAGATTTCTACCCAGGGGCCATCACGAAGAAAATCACGGAAAGAGTCCCAGTCAGCTTTAAGGTAGTTGTAAGATGTACAATGATAAGGGGATTCTGATGGTACAGAAGAATGAGATAATAGTTTTAGAGAGACCAAACCATGAACAGAAGCAAGGGTGAGTGTGGTGAAACTGAGCACTGACTAGGATTAGAAACAAGACATAAGTCGAGTAGAGAAGGCAAATGATTCGGGTTGTCTGGAAAGCGAGTTGGAAAGTTGACTATTTGAGTTAGGGAGTGAGAAAGACAAAAGTTGTGGGCCTTAATGCCTGCAGAGTCACTGACACTAGAGCCAAGCCATTCAGTGTGATGAACATTAAAGTCACCGACAACAACAATATTGGCTGATGGATAAAGAATGAGGGCTTGGTCGATATAATCAGAAATAACATCAAGAAGAGTGCAGTCTTGGGATGAGGGAGAGCGATATAGAACAAAGAGAAAGGTGATAGAGTGAAGTGGTGCTAAACGAAAGCACATAAAAGAGTAGATTCAAACCTAGTTTCCCGACAAATGGGTGAATTCTTACGAATGTAAATGCCTAGGCCAAGCATGTGACTATTGGAGTCTTTACGAATTAAAGGAAGATAACCATCAACACTAAGATCACAAGATGAGACAGCTGAACTCAAATTAGTCTCAGTACACTGTTTTATAGCCCACGCAATCGCCTCATTTCCACTAATAAACCCTAAGCTGTAACAAAGGGCTCCAATGTGGCTTTGGCAATGCACACCAAAAGTACAAACAGGGACACCATCCATGCGCAACATGGCACTGTTAGTACTCTGATATTTTTCAGCTGTTGATGGAATCAGCCTCTCTGAGAGCTACCACAGAGTTTGGAAAGCTGACTACCGGATGCATTTAACATCTGCCCAAGATGAGTATTTTTATCGAGACACCATCTCTAGCCTTTACTCAACCAAGAGCCCCAAGGCAGGGGGTGTTTTATGTCGAAGTTTGCATCTCCTAGCCTTTGCCTAAAAAGGCCTATCCTACAAGGCAGCAGGACATAAAGCAGATTGTACTGGGTTACATGTTACCAGTAGCAGGATAAACCTGACCTGACCCAGGACTCAGTAAAATAAAATGTGTAAACAAAAAACAATGTTTCTCACATATATGTAACAAACATTGCAAATACTACATTTAAGTTTTGGTTTTTAGCATAGCAGAATTTTTTATTATGTTTTTAAAACTAATTTAAAGAAATTTGCTTCCATATATATATGTATATGTATATATATATATACACATATATACACATATATATATATATACGTGTATATATATATATATATATATATATATATATATATATATATATATATATATATATATATATATATATATAATATATATATAAAATATTTTTTCATCCTTTAGTTTCCACTTCCTCTACAACTCTAAATGCAGTTGAAAAAGATATTTTAAGTTAAAAACATCACCTCCTGAATTATAAAACTTTCCACTATTGTAATGTGTTACCTTATTAAAAGTCTTTTGCCTATTGCTGTTAGAGCTGTTTTTTTTAAAACATTTTTAGATAACAAAATAAGAAGTAGATTGTTTTTTTTTTCATATCTGCAACATAATCAGATTCATAATCAGAATGATTAACACTAATTAAAAAAAACAAGTGTTAGTGTTTATGAAAAAAAAAAACATGTGTTAGTGTTTGAGTATTCTCAATTATATGTTATTGTTGAGTGTTGTTGAGTGTTATTGTTCTTTAGTTTGATTTCCATGTTTAACTTGAAAAACAACTTTTTGTGTGATCCACTTATAGTGCATGTAAATTTTTATTTGCTTGTTCATATTCTTCCCACCTTATTTCCAAAATGGTCCAAGATAAAGGTATTATATATATTTTTAGAAATATATATAATACCATATAATAAATATAAATGTTTTTTATGTCTTTTTAAATATTTTCAGTTGGCTCCTAATTTTTTTTACTAGTCCAAAATCATTTTAGCAATTCTTTAAAAAATTCATTTTTTCTCTTTGCACCTGATGGGCTGTTTCTTTAAATATTCTTTAAAGAAGAATAGTTGTTCGCCATCTCATTGATCTTCTTCCTTTCAAGTATTTCAAGTTTTAAAATAAAGATTAAAATTTCTTTGTATGTATATGTAAGACATGACAGAAAATAAATAAAATATGACATATGGGCCATATTTTATTCTCAATTTTGTTACTCAAATATGTAACAAATTATACCTAACATTATACTTATATTTCCTTCTTTTTAGACAAAAACAAAAATTAAAAAAAAAAAATTTGAATAATGGGAACACTTTTCTTAGCGCATCCAAAAAAAGGGCAAAAAATTACCTTTGCTCCCTTTGATAAAAGTCATGGAGTGATCCAATCATGAAAAAAATATATTTTAATTATTAAAATATATATTAATAATAATACCAAGGTTTAAAAATAGAAACTTAAGCTTAGAAATAGCAATGTTAGTTAAAATTCAAAAAAATCATTTTTTTAACACTTAGTGTACAAATATTATTTGGGTGGGATGTTTCAACAGGAATATTTTATTCTGTATCAGCTAGTTAGGGTGCCACAAAAAACATCTGTGTTCTTTTTATAAAAGAATAAACTATATTTAAATATTCCAAAAATAAAGAACAAAATATAAACTTTATTAGCTTACATTGTTGTATGCTGATTTTTACATAGATATATTTGTGAATTGACATAATCCAAATATATACCTCGACCATAATATCCTAATTTGATGAAATAAAACAAGTGTACATATTTTTACTAATTTAGCATTTACTAATTATTTAAAAATTTACTTAAAATACCTAATAAATGATTTGATATACTTGGTACAATATCAATAGGACAGTTTTCTTTTAAATACTTTCTTACTGTTCTAAACATTGTCCAAGATACTCCAACAATATTTTCAAAATATAGTTTTATTGGAATATCAATGGTGTATGAGCCATCAAACAAACAGCTTGGATTATTAATTGTGGCAGTTAAACTCTGATAAATTCCACTGTCTGTCAAATTGGAGATCTATAATAAATCTATAATACTTTTTAAAGAAAACCATATCAACTTTGTTTTAGATAAAAGAATTTATACACCATTGAGATGATAAATCTTATTACCTTATATTTAAGATTGTTTGAAAACACTTTTACAACATTCAAATGCGTAATCTCTGATTTTAACTTTACAAAAGATGGTAATAAATATTCCCAAATTAAGTTAACAGCTTTATCAGATTTATTTGCGTAACTCAGATAAAAAGTAATATTGACAAATGTTCTAAACAATTCAAAATTAAAACTGATTAATAAATATTTTTGAAAAAAAAAAAACTTGTACAAGAAATTATGGGTCTATTAACGTTGATATATGCCTTAGAATTATCATGAAACGTCAGAGACCCAGCCTCATTATAAATTTTTTTTTTAAGATATCAGTAATTTTTGTTAACATGAAATTTTAAAGATTTTTATTTTTTTGTTAGTTTAAACTGATTCATAAGGTTATGTAGGAGATGCATTTATCAGGAACGAGATGAAAAATATTAGCAGATTGACCATCACAAAGAAAATCAAACAAACAAAAAAAAAATCCAGTTAGCTTTAGGATTAAAATAAGTAGTGTAATAATAATAAAGATAAAAGATTTAAAGAGATCATTGGATGGTCAATAGCACCTAAAGGAGAATGATGAGGAACTGAATACAAGCTAGGGTCATAGAAAAGACACAAATCAAAGAATGAAAGTAAGTGATTAGGATTGTCGTGAAAACGAGTTATAACTATTGGCAATATTGAATCTAAATCTAAAAAAGTACAGTCTTGTGAATAAAAATAAAAATAAAGAATAAAGAAAAAAGTGATTGAGTCAGAAAATTCAAACCTAATTTCTCGACAAATAAGTGAATTAATGCATAAGTATACGCACAAGTCAAGCATGAACTATTGGAGTCTTTGAAAATCAAATGATAATAGACATTATTACTGAGAAAAGAAGAAACAGCCAAATTCAAATTAGTCTCACAAAGAGCGAGTAAGGCTCATGAATTTTGCAAAAGGTAAGATTAAACTGATAGTTAGTTACTTCAAAGACCACAAATATTTATAAAAGTTAAGTGGTGATGGTTTTTTATGTTTAATATACTTAGGTACTTTGGTCATGATTTAAGTTAAAGAGAATGTGACTCAATTATAGATAGAGCATGGCATTCCATGCAATGAGTTTTGCAGTTACCTTATTCCTGCTAAATAAACTAAACTTGTAACTATGTGTCCTCCACAATGCACACCAAAAGCACTAACAAATGTGCAATATGAGCACACCAAATATATATGCACACCAAAAGCACTATCCATGTGCAATATGAGACTATTTATACTCTGATATTTTACAGCTGTTGATGGAATCAGCCTCTCTGAGAGCTAACACAGAGTTCAAGAAACCTTACTACCAGCTGGTCTCAGAACCATTAAACCAAGTTTTAGAGCTGCACCCTCATAAGGAGATAACAGGAATAGTTTGTGTAATAATAAAATATATTTGTTTTTTCTTACTGTCTTCTGAATATCTTTACTCAATATTTATACATTTGCAAAATACCCCCGAGAGTATAATAAACAGTATAAACGTTATGTACAATATAATATATACGACGCGCCCACAACATTCCTTCTGACGCAACACGTTAATAGTTTATATACAATACAATTATTTACACTAATTACAACACCCCTTGATCTCTAGATCACAAAGTCCGCATACTTATTCGGAAACTTCCGCACTTGCATCAACCTTCTGAGATTCAGGTTGTTCGCGGTGGGTTTTTCCGGTTCTCTTGTAGACAAGTCAGCTGCAATAGGAGCTGGACGGACGTCTGACATGTGTCTGGGTAATCCATTGATTTCTACCGAAACTCCTCGTCCTTCATCTGAGACTCTTCCTCTATTCCATTCGCTTGTACATTTTGAGTCAGGTGGTTTTACAAATACTTCTTGTCCTTGTGTGTAGTTGTGGAGAACTTTCTCATTAGTTTTGGCAAAAATTGTGTGTGGTTTCCACTCATAGGAAAATATAGCTTTGTAGGGGAGCGATGTTTTCTCGCCATTTTTTTTGGGAGCCACGTTATACCAATATACCATTTTTAACGGATCTTTGCCACTTCTTGCTGCCATGCGCTTGATTGTGCGATGGTGACGTATGGTTTAGTCATTATCAAGAAAACACAAGCAGAATTCTATGATTCGAGTCAAGAAGATCCTGCATTTCACTGTCCTAGGAAAGGAAACAAAGTAACACAAATTTACATCTACACCAACCTGATATATGAAGAAAGAGTGCTAGGCTGATTAACAGAAAAATTCTGCTTACCCCTAAAGTTTTTGTTAAGAAGGTCTTCTGCAAGACAGAAGCTAGGTACAGTTAACATCTGCCCAAGTCAAGTATTTTTATCAAGACACCATTTCTTTTGCCTCAACTAAGTGCCTTAAGGTAGGGAAATTTTATTTCAGAATTTGAGTTCAACTGTTCTATCTTTAATTCTTAGAACTAATGGCCATTATCCTTTTCAAAACTTTAACATTGCATGCTTAACCTTTGTATATACTTATGATGAATAAGTCATCTATTTGTATTAAAATCAGGTTCTCTGAATATTCTTTAATGTGTTTTCCTTTTAATATTAATTCCAATCAACATTAACAACAGGCACTTTCTCTTTATCTATCAATTCAACAATTACAATAACATTGATAAATCTTTATTTATCAATGTTGCTTTGGTAACTTTATCACACTGTGCTTACACTAAAAGGTCAATGGAACTGGTACGCTGACACAAAAAGGTCAATGAAACTGGCACGCTGACACTAAAAGGTCAATGGAACTGGCACGCTGGCACTAAAAGGTCAATGGAACTAGCACGCTGACACTAAAGCTGAAATTTTTTATTCTATTTAATCATTTACCTAATTGCCAAATATTCATCTTTGTGACTTGTTTTTCAGACTTCACTCTTTAATTTGTGTTTTTCCTCTAACCCTCTAATTGCGCTCAATTTCTCATTATCTTTTAAGTTATTTAGATATGATTCGATCTCACTAAAACTTTTACCTCATACTTCTTCATCATCACACTTCTAAAAACTTTTTAAGGCTAACTGGAAGTCCTTTTATAACTTTTATAATGGAAGTCTTTGGATTAATGTCTTTTGACTGTCTGTTTGTCTTCTTTGTAAACTCTTACAAACAGTCAGGATTATTTTATTCCTTCTTTTGAATTTCACTCATGCCCCACTATGCCCCATAGTTTTTTTTTTCCTGTACAGAGAAAAAATATATTTTTAATTGCAACATTTTTCGCTTCTGCTTCTAGTTAAATTCTTTTCGGCTGTGACAAGACTGTTAGATGGTACTCTGTGACAAGACCGTTAGGACATCTGGTAGCACCTTAAAAATAAAAAAAAAGAAATTGCTTACTCATTTATGATTCCATCATATTCCACGTTAAGTAGAGGTTTGTTAACTAAGAAAATAAAATTTTAAATGTTGATTGTTTATTTTCAAGTTAAAAAAAAAAGCTGCAAAACATTACAGGTTAAATTACACAAATAATAAACCAGAAGAAGTTATGATTTCATTTGTCATATAACAATACAAATATTTTAAGAAGCATAGTGAACCAATATCAATTTAAATTAATAAATGCTAGTACATAATTACTAGATAATTTTTTTTTTCTTCAGAGCGCATCCACTCACACACATATGCATATAGCAAATGGTCATATTATTAGATACATATTGTTATTTTTTTTCATTTAATTTTAAAAATAGATTTTAAAAGAACAAATTTATTTCTAACCCAAAATTCTTTTAGATTTAAATATTGACAATAGTGTGCAATATGTTGTTCATAAATAATTGTGGCATTAATTTTGACCATTGATTAGATAAAATATTTGAAAAACATGCATTATTCTAAATTATATGCAAAATCTTTATTAAGCAAAAAAAAAAAAAAGCAAAAGTAACAAATACTTTTTTTTTTAGTCAAAGCATAAAACTTGATAAAAAAAATACCTCAACAAAGTGTCAGAGGTTGAAAATATTGACTATGCATCACTATGTTGAGAAATAAGTGAACAATATCATTTGTGTTAAAAAACAAAGAAAAAGTGCAAAAACATTGCCTAATCATACAAGAAAAGGTAGTCAGTACAATGATTTCTAACAGAACTAAAGGTAGAAAATATTCTATTGAGCATTTAACAGCATTAATTTTGTACTCAGCATCAATTAATTTGTTGCATTTTGAATGATCCAAAACTAATATGCATTAAATTCCATAGCAGCACATACTAACTTTTTTTTGTATATACAGGAGATATTCTGCAATAATTGGCCGTCATTAGTTAATAACTATCATTAGTTTCTAATAGGAAAAAGAAAAGTAGAAAATTTTTTAAATTGAAAAGAAAAGAAACCTTGAAGTTTTTAAGTTGTAAAAAAATAATGTTAAGATGTATTATTGCAATAATAATAAGACCAACAATAATATTAACAATAAAAATAGTAATTATGATTATAGCAGATTTAAATGCTACAGATCTGCATAGAAACCTAGTTCTCAGTTTCTCAGTTGAATAATTCATGGATATTGGAGATAGTTGGACGAAACTTTCCTTGACCACAGTTTTTTTTTTTTAAACATTTTCACTTCCAACAAGGTTGCAAGCAACCACTATTAGAGTTGGAAAAAAAAAGATGAAGTTTATAAAGCAAGATAATGATTAACAGACGAATTAAAAGATTGCAAAATATATGAAAAGTTCTCAATAAAATAATGACCAAGTAAGCTATTCTAAGTAAGTCATTATTATTTATTTTTTTTCCACAAAAGTTATCATTTTAAGCTATTTCCATAGATTGTAATTGTTTTTCTTAAGATTTTTTAAGACAATTAGCTGGTGTGTAAGGCATTATAATATGAACAGACCATATGGCTTCTCAAATATTATAAATCAACTAGATCTGTATAACCAGGAAAGCTAGAAAAGCAGTTAACCCTGGTATTGTCAAATAGGTATATTATACAAAAAATATCTAATTAAAGCTCATAAACCTGAAAAATCCTATGCTATGAGAATAGTTATATTAACTATAGAGATTGTGAAACATCTAACTACTTAGTAAAGAAAATACAATCAGTACTGAACAAAAACAAAACATGCTTGAAAAATTCTTTGGAAAAAAAAAAGGTTCAAATTTTATTTGATGCAGTAAACCAGTAGCCATGGAAAGCAGTACCCATGGATTCCACTAAAGGTATCTGACTGTTAAAGATCAACTAAACAATAAAGCTTCTTATATCAGAAACAAAACAATCTATAGAGTTCTGTTAACATCATTTTTATGTGGAGCAGTGACATTTATAACTTGGAGAATTTTTTTTATTTGCATTCACTCCCAACAAGGCTGGAAGCAACCACTATTAAGTTGGGAGTTACTAGGAAAAAAAAAAGAACAGAGTTATAGAGCTAGGAAACGGTTGACAGAAGACTTGAAACGTTGAAGGTTGTATGAGTCAGGAAAACATGGAGATGGGAGAGAGTTCCAAAGGATTAAAGTGCGGGGAAAAAAACTAGATGAATAAAAGTTTTTAAAGCATGCTGGGACAGATACAGTAAACGAATAAGACTTAGCTGAATGACGAGTAAAACGAGAATGAATTTTAGTTGATGGAACTAGAGATGATAACTCCTTTGAGCAGTGACCATGATAGTATTTGTAGAAAAGAGAAAGAGATGCAACTTTACGATGATGGGAAAGAGGCTCAAGCTTAGCAGATCTTGCTAAGCGTGGGTTTCTCTCGCAAATCATCATGTTAGTCGACGACAAACTGTTGGCCGGCGCTAGGCGGTCCAAGGTCTGCCGAAGACCGATAACCTACAAGAGTTGACTGGCGGTTAAAAACTGACTCAACAGCGGCGTTGGATTACCTCCAACTAATTAGTTTGCTCCCATGGATCGTTATCCCTGTACTAGATGGAACCCTTCATATGTTATACCAGGTGTTGTATCCACCGCACGCGAATCCGCGTGAGTTGTCTGGAAAGTCAGCTCCACTGATCATACTCCCGACCGTCTTGACATGCACTCATCGAGCTAAGCGTTTAGCGGCATACGTGCAGCAAGTCGCCTTACGAGCTTGTGCATCATTATCCCAACTACCTCGGGCATTCACCGCAAATTTCTAAGTCTCGATCCCGAAAGATGTCGTCTTATAATTTGGGCGCTTTCATTACATGCAATTATTTGTAACGGTCTTCCGACCTTGGCCAGTTTCAACTTGCTAAGTATCCGCTGGGTTTTACGCGTAATTGTTCCAATCGCCCCTACTGCAATCCCTACAACTGAAATTTCATTAGCACTTCTGCCGTTATTCCCCTCAAGTTCTTGAGTCCAACTCCTATCAAGCCTGAGTGGCTCGTACTTAGCAACTTTTGCATCTTCGCATTGACTTAGGTGTCTTTCCAATTTCTTGTAAGGACATGCCATATCGATGACAGTAATTACACCATCATCTTTCACAACAATATCGGGTTTATAACGCCTGCCATTCCCAGAGAGACACATCCTCTCGCGCCACACCCGTCTGCTTGGCCCACCATTGAGTCTAAGCTCTTTGGCGAGTTTATCACAAAGCAAGTTATGACGTTTCGAGTATGCATCCCGACTGGTAGGACATCCGGCCAAGATGTGACAATCAGTTTCTGCTGTTAAACCACAACACCAACATTTTTTGAGAGTCTGGTCGGCTACGCCTCTAGACAGATTGATCTTTGTTGGAATAACTCCTGCCATTGCCTTCCAAACTAGAATTTTGTTTCCAGGTCTTATATTCTTTTCCAATAACCAGTGCCGGCTCACCGAGGACTCTGCTATAGTCTTGAGGGCGCCTCCATTGGTTTGATTGCCAATTTTGTTTGCCCTCTTAACCTCACAGAACTTCCTGGCGGCATCCAGTTCTATGCCTGCTAATCCGGCCCTTTTCCACAAAACTCTATTTGTCTGCACAATGCGGGCCCCGACAACTCGGACTACTCCGTCCATTTTTTCCGCAGCTCTCATTCGTTGGATGACAATTCCTGACACTACATCAGGAATGCCTAAGCCTTTGCTCGAATGCATCCATTCGCTATTGCACCATGCGGGGAAGTGAATGATGGATTTCACCCATCCCCTCACAAATCGTGACCACTTACGGAGCTCACAGATTCCGCACCCGGACATCCGGAGAACATAGTTTGCTCGGGCACAAACTACCTCTTTCAGCACCTTCACTTTTTGATCAGGTTTGAGCTTACACTCCCTTAACCTAGTTAGCCAAAGCTTCCATACCTCAATCGGAAGAGCAATATTACCAGCTGGGTCAATCATTACCCCAAGATATTTTCCAACACTTTCGTATGTCATAGATGGGATTTCAACATCCTGGTTATTAACTTTCCACCATCTATGCGTCCTCGTAAGGACTTTCATGGACCGTTTGCCTTTTACAGGCAAAACGCGTAACGACTGACACTTTGCTGGATTTACAGCTAAACCCTTCTCCTCAAAGAACGTATTGCACACGTTCATTAGCACGTTCATTTCAACCGAGTCTTTCGCCAACAACACGTAGTCATCAGCAAAAGCCATGGAAGAAATGACGTGACTTTCCAGATCAAGACCGCAGCCAGTTGCCTCCAGCCTCTCCGCTAGTTCATCTATTACTAGATTGAACAGCAAAGGAGATAGAGGACAACCCTGCTTCACCCCTGAATTTATACATATAGGTCGAGTCTTTGTTTTCCCAACCGTAATGCTCGTGACAGCTCCCGCATATAAGCTGTCTACCACTTTTATCACACTTCGCGGTATGCCTTTCCTCAGCAATGCTTTCTCTATCGAATCATGCAAAATCGTATCAAACGCTTTTGCAAGATCGACAAATATGACATTGTGTTCCCGCCTGCTCCTTCTGTAAGACTGGAGAATGCATTGGATGGTTTTTACATTCTCAAAGCACCCATCCAGCGGGACGAATGCTTTCTGTCTCACATGAAGTTGCAGGTTTTTTCTGATCCGTCTGTCCCAGATCTTAGCGTATACCCTATTCAGCATATTGCCGATCGTCACAGGTCGGTAGTTCGACGTTAGATGCTTCTCGCCACCCTTATGCAAGAGTATTGTTCGGCACCTATTTTCCACTACAGGGATTCCATGCAAGTACCACATATTAAAGATGATACACAATTGGCGTGGGCTCGCCTTTTTCACGTCCTGTAGGAGCAAGCCGTTGGGACCCCCTGAGGCATCCTTCTTGCTTGCGCTGATTGCGTCTTGTACCTCCCTGATCGTAATGCGACCATAGCTTACTAAATCGAATTTTTCGTCTATATGCACTGTCCTAGTGGTATCCAGCTGAGTTCTTACCTCTAGCCGGTCAACGTACACACGTTGTACTTCCTCCAACTCTGGC